GCATGTATCAAGGACAATAAAAGGAATGTTAATAGAGCTGTTTAGAGAATTCATAATTATAAATGCATTTATATTTTAAACTGCTGCCTTTTTATCTTTCTGTTTGTTCATCTCCATCTTCTAATTACACTGCTGGTTGATTTAGTGGAAACAATCCATTTTTATCCCAAACTGATCTTCAGTCTCCATTCCTGTAATTTCTAGTTCAATTATCTTTATAAGCAGGCAAAAACAAATATAAATAAAATATAATTTCCTTTCACCTGTGTTAAGATCAAACATTATTATTGGAGTTTCAAATTCTACTGAAATAGGAGTATGCTGACAGGATCCAACTATTTTGCCTTTTTTCCTTTACCTTTTAAAAATGATTGACATTTCCTTGGTTTTGTTCCTTTTAACACTGTTTAAAAAGTTGGTGGTTTTGATGTAACACTTTCACAGTCTGTAAGAGTTTCACAACAATAGCACTGATAGCATTCAACTTAATAATTAACAAGGTACGATTAGGAAAAAATTCCCAAGCAGAATATACTTTCATTGAAGAACAGCAAGGAAAATGTTGGTGCCTATCCTTTGTCTATAACTAAATAAATCCTTTCTTAATTTAAAAAACAAACAAACAAAAAAAACCCAAACACTATTATTTGTGTATTGGTACACAAAATTCCTTTTGCAAGTTTTAAAGTCTTGGACATAACAGCGCAAAGAATAAATGGAAATGCACAGATGTTGTGTTATTCTCACAACACAATATATTTTACCTTTGCTTGGTTTCCCCTTTTGTCCCTCCCCTTGTTCTCAGTCCATTCATTCTAATCACTTATTTTGAATTACAGTTATGTTTTGGTCATATATGGCAAAAGTTTCAAATACTATTTTATAGCTCAAATTATCTTTGTTAAATGTGCATAATCAAGTGGAATATAGGATGTTAGATGTTATAATTGTACACTGGCTATTTAGGATGAAAGATGTTTTAGGTGAAGTGGTGAAGCAGAAGGATCAGAAAAGTGAAGAAAGTGAGGTGAGAAATGGATTCAGCTTGTGACACCTTAATGTAGGTATTTACAGGAGGTGTCTGTGGTGAGCATTCTTTCCTTTGCTTCACAGTAGCCTCATCGCTAGCAACCTAGTCAATATGTTAGTGTTGTTGCAACACAATTCAGCTGTCATGCCAATAGGTGTCTACTTCCGAATGCGTTGACTCACTTTCCAAGCTACATCATCTGTAATGGAAAATCAGATTCCTATTTCATGTGTAGCTACTTAAGTTTAGACATGTAAATTTATAAGCTTGAGCTAAATCCCGTGTGTCAAACAGGTCACTGCTTTGTGTTTTTGGCATTTGTGCTGGTAGCCAGAGCAAACTAGAATCCTTAAACAAGAATTCATTAGATTTCTGTGGACAGACTTTCAAAATATTTAATGGTACAGTCTGGGGCTGATAATTATTTGTGCGGGTGACACTCACTGTGTATAAGCAGTGTTTTTGTTCCAGTTGCATACTTATTTTTTTTTCCTTGTTTCATCTTAACCCACCTTTTTGAGCTAATTGCATTGTTTTCCATCTATGTGTGCCGCCACACATCTGCACATAATATTCCTGAGGTGAAGAGTGGATGCAGGTGAGACAAAAGCTGTGCAGCCAGGTACAGAGAGGAGCTGGGTGAATCCACTCCCAGCTTCCAGTACTCGTACTCTTCCCAAGAAGGGCTGTATGGCCATCAAAAGCCAAAGTTCTCAGACAGTGACACTCCGTAAGGTCTATAGCATGGCTTTCTTAATATCTGCAGAAGCCAGCAGCAAAGGGCAGGTATCTCTACAGAGGGCTTGGGACATACAGGGCTTAAGTGACATGGTTTCTCCAGTGCATGAAAGAACCAAAGTGAATAACATAGACAAAAGGATTTGCACTGATTCACAGAATTGTAGGGGCTGGAACAGACCTCCAGAGATCATCAAATCCAAACCTCCTGCCAAAGCAGGCTCCCAACAGCAGGTTGCACAGGTTAGCGTCCAGGCAGGTCATGAATGTCTCCAGAGAAGGAGACTCTACAACATCTCTGAGCAGCCTGTTCCTGTGCTCCATCATCCTTACCATGAAGAAGTTCTTACACACATTGTGAGGAACTTCCTATGCTTCAGTTCGTGGCTATTTCCCCTAGTCCTATTGCCATGCATCACTTAAAAGAAGTCTGGCCTCGTCTCTTTGCCTCCCACACCATAGGTATTTATAGACATTGATCAGATCCCACAAGATTGATATGACATAAAAACAGGGAATTGACACAGTAGAATTGTATAAGAATTGTAACCATCCAATTCTCCTCACATCTTCCCATACTCAGCTTATCCTGAAACTAAAGCATGTCGTTGTACACAAAAGGTTGTTCCTGTCCATTCTGAACCCTAAAACCAACTCTCCCACACCTTTTTTTTTTTTTCCCAAGACTCTTCACAGTGGAAAAGGTTTGCAGATTCCTGCTATGCGCGATGTCCTGAGCATCTTTTGCCTTACTAGCTTTCTAGACCAACTTGCCAGCTTTTAAGGTTAGAAAATAGTTGGACCATGATAGCTTGCTGGCAGTGCCAGGTATTACTACTGACTCTGTTTAGAATTCAAAAGCAAAACTAGAAATTAACATTGTGTTAAGGAGCAGAGAAGTCTTTAGAAATCATATATTGGCTTGGGTTGAAAGGGACCTTGAGGATCATCAACTTCCAACCCCCTGCCCAGGGGCAGGATTGTCAGCTGCTAAATCAAGTACTAGATCAGGCTCCCTCAGGCCCCATCCAACCTGGCCTTGAAAACCTACTGCAGTTCAAGACAGAAATTTGTTTTCAGTATTTCCTGGGTAGAAAACTACAAACCTCTGGTAAATATGTGAAATGTCATGTTAAGCAGTATACATACTAGTGATTCTGTTGGATTCAGTGTTTCCTGTAGTATTTTGGCACATCTGTTAGAATTTTTTTCTCACAAAATGGGATTTTAGAACAAATATTAAGGCTTCATTCTTGTATTAAACTTGGCTATGATGCCAAATTGATTTATACATTGTGTTCTGATTTGCCATCCCAATTCCCTGTTATTCCTTCCCATGTGTTCACATTGGGAATTCCCCTATCAAGTGGAAGCTCATATCAGAGTTGACTCCAGAGTCTATTCCAAGTCTGAAAACAGGCAGGGCTGTCAAGTAAAGGACAGACTCTGCGAGCAGAGAAGACCTTAGAGTGCTGAAAGGATCTGGACGAGAGAATTTGACCTTACGTGTCCATGTTTCAGTTCTGTTTCTGAAATAAATCTACTTGACAGTTTGGGAGTTTTGCCTTGATCAAACGTGCAGCTATTTGGTCTACAGAATAGCCAAGTTTAACTATAGGAACAGCACTTGTTAATGTCAAAACATTGTTTATGTACCATTTAATCTCCTGTGATGGTGTACGTATTTGCTATATACTTGCTTGAGTTATTTTCATCAAGAAATTCTGTCTATGTGTCACTTTGGCAACATCTTTGCAGAGTTTACAACTTTGAAAAACATGTTGGCATCAACTATGCAGTCCTTTTAAACAGCTGCTCTGCAGTCATGCTGTTTTAACATGCCACTACACATGGTTGAATTATGCAAATAGTTAATATTAAATGACTGAGATACAAGAACAATTTGTACACTCAATAAAGCCGGTCTGTGGAGTGTAACAGCCATTCCTGTAACTGAATGAGTCTGGGGGAGTTTAAAGATGTGATTCTTTTGACTTTGAGTACAAATACTTGAATTAAGGCAGAAATGGGCAGAGAGAAGCTGTATGGCAAGAATGTTTTGTAAGGATTTTCTTTTGACTACTTATTAAAATGCAGTGAAAACAGAATGTGCATCAATATACTTTTCTGGCAATTATTAAGAAATAGGTAAGGCACGGCAAATGTTTGTCATTCAGCTATAGATATGAATTACTCTGCTTTGATTGAGAGATAAGATACAATGCTAATTATAATGCTGATATTTTAGCAGTGTTTATTGAAAACAGGAGCACTGTAAGAAAGCTAAAACAGAGTTTAAAAATATATAAAATTGTCTTACACTTTGCATGATGTTTCTACTGACTTTGCTAACCTAGCTCTGCAGTAATGAAGCATGAATTATGTACAGCGTAGAACGACAGATAAAACATTCTGAATTCTGTAACTTAATTACCTACTAGATGTAAGGGAATAGAACTTTAGGCACTAGGAGATGCATGACAACAAAAAGGCAGCCATTTAAAGACACAAAATACCATGAGTTTTCCATTCTCACTTTACAGTAACTTTTGAATGGATTTTTTTTTCAGCTAAATAGTAAGAAAGCGTGGTTTTTGGGTTTTTTTTTGTTTTGTTTTTTAATCAGATTGTTTAGCCAACAAATTATTAGAATATTAAAAAAAAAAAAAACTGAGTATTTCCTCATGCTTTTCCTTTTTATTTCCAATGTTGGAATTTTTTATGTTTCGCAAAAATTCTTTTCCACTTGATCCCATTGTTACTCTAAGTCTTCGTAAGGTATTGCATTGACTTTTCTGATCTGAGTACAAAGACACAGGTATATTTCTAGTAGTAGGACTTTTGTGCAAGACATAACACTTGAAATACAATTTATCATATACAAATTATGTTGGTAAACTCCCTCTGCCTGAACAAAACAAACTCAAAATATTTCTTTTAAATTAAATGGAAGCTTAACTTAAAAGAGGTAGTGCTTCTTCATTACACAACAAATGCTGTCTTTTACAGCAATTATTCAGTACAAAATTTGAGTTGTATAAATAAATCATATGTACATTTTTCACTTTCTTTTATTAATATGCAATTAGTAATTTTGTAAGTATATGGTGCTTGTTGGATTTTCTATTCCACTGGCATTTTTCATTTGGTGAATAAAAATCCATTATTAACAAAACAGATTCAAATGTAATTTTACTGATTAACTGAGCATTGCCTTTTTATGGTTTTCCAGGAACTAGCCGTAATGAAACAGATTCTAATTAATCTACAGGATAAACACAAGGAACAAAACTTACTTCCATCTCAAATTAATTTAAAAAGTTTGACTGCAGAAAACAAATTAAACCCTTCAGTAAAACCGCTGCCAGAATATGAAGAAGAAAATGTATTCAGACCTAAGCCAACATTATTTGTAAGTACTATGCTAACAGTAAGTGCCATCAACTTATTTCCTCACACTTTAAAAAGAAAAAAGGTAATTCATACTTCAAGGAGGTACACACTTTATTCCACATAGTATTTGCAACTTTGTGTGGCTGTGGTTGATTTTGAGGAGACAAACTGCAGTTTGTGATGTTATTTACATGTTTGGTAGTTCGTGCATGTAAAGTCTGAAGTAAACAAGATTTTTAAAAGAAAACCAATTATATTACTATCAGTTCACAAAACTGTAATGAGCACAAAATAAATATGCAATTTTAAGTCTACCCTGAGCATGAGGTGATTGTGTACCGATGTACTGAGGAGCAGCAGTGGGGAAATAAATGTATTTATGTGTATTTACACTGCTGCATATACATGTATACATACAGGCACATGCTTAGGATTTTTGTAACTTCTGTTACTATGGATAATTTTGATACTAGAAAACCTTGTTCTATACCTTTAAAAAAATAAATGCTTGGATTTAAATGCTTCGGGTTCCCTATTGAATTTAGTGCTTCTGGTATTTGAAAGGTTCCCAAAAATGATATAGAAGCTTCTGATAACAAGTGTGCCTCAGCTGATAAATTTAAGAGAATTATAATGCTGAGTCACAAAGCAAATGATAACTTGTATTTACAATAGTTGCAGCTGTTTTCCTCTAGGGTAGGCTGGTTCAATCTACACAACCCTCTTTTTTTCCCTTTCCCCTGGGCCCAATATTTTGCTGCTTTGGTCCAAATGTGTATCTATATATGGTTGTTTTTTGTTATTTTTATTTCTTCTTCTGGAAAGAATCTTCTTAAAATTGAAAGAGACTCAAATAATGTAAGATTGATATTGCAACACATCAGATAATGTTTTTGTAATACACAATGTAGAGAATGATTACATCCCCTGAGTATAGCATGAGGGCATTTGGGGACAATTACTTAGATTATTCAGTGGTTGTTATTTTGCTTAGTGTTTTGAGACTGCTCAGAGGTAAAAGGCACACCATGTGTTGTCTCATCTGTAATCCTTTTGGAAATGCTAAATCATATATCCCAAGCTTTTGTCTTTGGTGCAGTGACCCAAAGACAAACTGTGAGCTAACGATTAGGTTGTGTAGATGATCCAGAGTTTGAGTGTATAATCTGTCTTGCCTTTCTTAGGGATATAGAAATGATGTGGCAATCTAGAAAAAGAAATGCTTTGACATGTTGAAATTGTTCCTCCTATAACTTTGGAGTAGGAAATGCAAACAAGCTGATTGCAGGGTTTCCTACTAGATGGGGAAATAATTCAATAGTCCTGTTGAAGTCTTGCCCATTTAGGCCAATTTTGAGAATTTTAATAGCTTATACAAATAGAGTAAATTTATTTTTATAACTGAGAGCTTCAAAATCAGAGAAAGATGAAGATTTAAACATGATCCAAGGCGAGCTGAATTTGAAGACTGATTGGTTATTAAGTCTTGGAGGAACAGAACAAATAGGGAGAAGAAAACAAACTGTTTAGAATTGAGTTTAGAGACAACAGATGCAAGAAACAGTATTAGCAAAAGCAAGAGTTAATACTGAAACTTGAATGTAGAACAGTCCTTAACCTTGTTCCATCTTCACTTTGTTTTTTTTCTTCATATAAACAACTTCTGAATTTGCCACAAGAATGTTCTATACTGTCTTGAATGTGCAGTAGCCCAAAGGATTATGAAAGCAAGAAGTTACTCACTGATAATTCTCTACCAATAAAATTATTCCTGCACTGTCATTAAACTGCTGAATTCCTTCATTTTGGATTACAATTTTTTGAGAGCTCTTATTTTGGACAAAGTGTTGGTCTATGGCACACACAAAATCTCTTTCCTGAGTTTCATCTCCTTCTCTAACGGGAGCACTGAATAATGCTATTTAGAATGAAATCTATCTGTGCTACACTTGACTCATGTTCAATATTTTAAAACAAAACATTTACCTCATCTGCTTTTTATAACCTAGAAATCAGCTGGTTTAAATACAGATATGTAGTAATAATAACCTTGAATACATAGTCTTACCTTTATTTTACTTTCTTTAAGCAGAAAAAAATGATTTAACACTATGAGCTACATAGGAAAGAAAGAGAATTCATCATAGATTGCATGTTCTTATTCTGACTTTTGTTCTTTCTCACAACTAATACATTCTTTATGTTACAGACAAATACACAGGCACCTGTATGGTACAAGAAACTGCAGAAGAAAACATCACCATAGCATTTTTCCGTAAATACTATGAAAATCCTTTCAGGAGATTTTCTTTGAAGAAAGATATTTTCACCATAATAATGCCTCTTTTCCCATAAAGGCAAACAACTCTTTTGTTTACAATTGTTGCTTTATATCTGTGAAATTATCTTATGTTGTATAATGTAATTTCTAGATCTGCCGTGTGAATAAAATGTGTGGAAATAATGCATGCAATGAACTTACTACCATATATTTGAATTTTGAAAGATAAATAAACACCATCATATTGCATATATTTATAATCGGAGTTGTAAACGGTGTCTTATTCATAGCATTCAAATGAATGCATGCTTCAGCTCTCTATATTGTTTTTCTTGGACCTTGTGCTTCATGTCACATTCCCTGCAACAATTCTGGCTCACAGAAATTGAAAAAATATACATGAATTAGCATCAGACTGTACCCTACTTTCTGTGAGGGAAATCACAGAATTGTAAGAGCTGAAAGGGTTCTCTGGAGACCATCTAGTCTAATCCCCTGCTAAAGCAGGTTCCCTACATTACATTATACAGAAAAGCATCCAGATAGATTTTGAATATTTCTATAGAGGGAGACTCCACGGCCTCTCTGGGCAGCCTCTTCCAGTGCTCTGTCTCCCTCACAGAAAAGAAGTTTTTCCTCATGTTCAGATGGAACTTTCCGTGTTCCAGTTTTTGCCCATTGCCCTTCGTCCTGTTGCTGGGCACTGTTGCAAACAGCACGCTGCAACCACTTGACATCTGCCCTTTATATGTTTATAGGCATTGATCAGATTCCCCCCTCAGTCTTCTCTTTTCCAGGCTGAACAGACCCAGGTCTCTCAGCCTTTCCTCATGTGGGAGATGCTCAAGCCCCCTCATCATCTTCTTGGCCCTCCACTGGATTCTCACCAGTAGATCCCTGTCTTTTCCACACCAGGAGAGCCCAGAACTGGACACAGTACTCCAGATGCGGCCTCACCAGGGCAGAGTAGGGGGAGGAGCACCTCGCTCAACCTGCTGGCCACAACTCTTCTTAGTGCACACGAAGTACAATTGGCCTTCTTTGCCACAAGGGCACACTGCTTTTGTATGTCAAGTGAAAAAACAATTCCCTTATCAGCCCCAATTTGTATAATTTGACAATTAATATCAGGTTATTCAATCATTACAGATCTTCTGATGAAGCAATGAAATACATCTTAGTTATCAGCTTTGATACTCGGGGCTAGATGCATTTGCTCTGCAGTTCTGTATCACATAAATATTGATGGCACTGTTTAAGTAAGTGCGTACTGATTTCACTCAGATTTCATTTAACTAGAAGTTTCTTTTTTTCTTACTTCCTGTTTCCTTGACAGTATCTCTTCAACTGCTTCATCGTTCCTAGCTGGATGTGAACAATAATTATTTACTGTATGTAAATATTGAGCTTATGATTCTTACATACACTTTTCTTCTTCATTTTCCAAACATCAAGTTGAAACAGTACTTGAAGCAATACTTCCTCTACTGAAGGTAAGCTTCAACTTTTGCTAATTCTGAGAGAGTGAGGTAAAAACACAAGTATTTGCACAGCATGGGATTAAAATGATGTTTCTGTGAACGAGGGAGGCATAGTATGTAGACAAATGTTCACGTGGGAAAAAAAGCACTGCTATTTGGACACACAAGACTATCTGTACTGATATTGCTTGATCAGCTTTGGTTTCTTGAAGTCTAGGTTTTTCTGTAGTGCATTTTTTTGTAAATAGAATTGTTGTTTTTGTGTGAGACAGCTCACATATGCAGATAATAGTTTTGTAATAAGTATTTAATCTGATTCACTGCCCCTAATTTATCTTTCCCAGACTGTCTTGCTTGTCTGTTATCACCCAATAATCAGTAAATTCTGTTATCTGGACCTGTGAACTATTCTAAGATGCTAGCTGCAATCTTTAGTATTCACTATTTGTTGTCCAGTATGGACAAATTGGTAAGATATAGACTATGAAGTGGATGGAAATTTGGCCGACACACCAAGCGCAAGGAAATGTGATCAGCAACGCAAAATCCAACGGGCAAAGGCGTCCTTCAGCAACTTCACAGTCAATGCCAAATTTGGAGACGTAGTCTCTACCGGGCAGGGTCTTGGACAGACATCAACTGGCTGGAAAAATGACCCAACAAGAACCATACAGAGTTCAAAGGGCAAGTCCCATCTCTAGAACCTCATGTTCCAGGACTGACAGGAAGGCGGTTTGGGAGAAACAGATCTCAACATTATGCTGGGCAACAAAGTTAACATGTCAGCAATACACCCTTGCAGCAAAGGATCGCGGGCTGTACTAACAGTATAACTAGCACATTAAGGGAAGTGCTTCTTCCCTTCTGTTTGGTACATGGGAGACCACATCCAGAGAGTTATGTTCAGTTTGGGGTTTGTTCAAAGCATTCATGTACAAAAGCGAGTCCACAGAGATTCACCATGATGATCAGAGGCTGGAGTACATATTGTAGATGGGGAGGCTGAGCAAATTGAGACTTAAAGGGCTTGGCAGGGATCTTGGTGCAGTCTCCAACTACCTGATGCGATGGTAGGCCTTCTGAGGGCCAGCCTGCCCTCAGAGCTGCACAATATAGAATAAGACGAAACTGACAAAAAGTGCAACACCAAAAGTTTCAACTGTCTATTATGAAAAATTGAACACATCTCCTATGAGGACAGGCTGAAAGAGCTGGGGCTGGTCAGCCTGGAGAAGAAAAGGAAAAACGGAGAGCAGCCTTTCAGTATCTAAAGTATCTACAGGAAAGAAGGGGACAGACTCTTCAGCGGAGTCTGTTGTGAGAGGACAAGCAGAAATGGTTTCAAACTTAAAGAGTGGAGATTTAGGTTGGCTATAATGAAAATGTCTTTTACAGCAAGGGTGGTGAGGCACTGGAACAGACTGCCCAGACAGGTGGCACTTGCCCTCTCTCTGGAGACTTTCAAGGCCAGACTGGTCGGGGCTCTACACAACCTGATGGAGCTGTAGATGTCCTTGCTCATTGCAGGGGAGCTGGACTAGATGGCTTTAAAGTCCCTTCCAACTCTAAGGATTCTATGACTATGAGGATGGTCAAACACTCAAACAGATAGCTCAGGGGGGTGGTAGCATCTTCATCCTTGGAGAGGTTTAGCAACCAAGTGGGTGAAGCCCTGAGCAATCTGATATAATTGGACCTGCCTTTACATTGGACCAGATGATTATTTTTCAGAATTCCTTTCCGACCTAAATTTCTCCATGGCAACATTTCTAAATATACAAGATAGCGACATTAATTTATTTCTTAATGTTTACACTTTTTAAGTATTTAAGATGCTTCCTGAATGAATTGTGCTTCATAAATTTCTATGCAGCAGCCAGATCTTCTGGGAGGGCAGACAAAAACTATTATATGGTTAAATTATATCAACATTTAAACAGTTCTTCAGATGACAATTTGACATTTACTGGATTTTAAGAAAATTAATAACAAACTCCCAACATGAAATTTACAAAAATTGATTTGTCTACATATAATGACAATTCATAATGCTTTTGGTAAGTTCAAACAAAACCTGCTCCATGTGTACACTTTTTTTCTCGTTGAAGACTATTTTTCTTGTCTCTCATCATTAGACTAAGGCTATAGTTCATTATTGAGAGAAAAAACTTTTAAAAAGTGAGAACAAGAATGTCACTTAAATGTAACTATTCAGACACAATGAGCCCTACAGCAAAAATTAATAAATATTTGCTCTTTAAGTAATGAAAAGGTTCTGTTGTATTACCTGTACAGTATTTTGACTGATGCTATTTCCTGCAAACATGGCTGCAAAATGAATTATTCCAGACTTATTCTTCATGAAATGGTCATTATAGTTTTCCATTGCAGTAGGTCTTGTGTCAATGATGTATGAGTCAAAAGTAATGAAAAGAAATTTCAAAGGGTAGTCATGCACATAAGAAACTTGTGACTGAAGTACCCAACCCATATAATCACCTTCAGTTCCTCTTTTTCAAACCAGAGAAAAAAGAAAGAAAATTCTCTATCCATTAGTACATTTCTTGGTACACTAAGTTGGTGTTACCTCAGTGTAGAGTTTCCTAAGTACATAGGTTGAACAGGAAAGAAGGAGGCATAGTTGCTTTAGAGAGGTAAAGACCTCTCAATGGTTTTTTTTACAGTGTAATTGCTTTCTCACATTTCTGTTTCCTGCTAGAAGCAAAAGGCTTCTGACACATCAAGGAAATCAAAGAAATTGAAAACATGAAATGGCTTTTTTTTAAAAAAGCACTACTTTTAAAGTGTGCTGCTGAATCCTGTGGTCACGCTTCACTCGAATTTGTTCCTAAATATTTTCTGTGCAAAGAAATTATACATCATTGGGATATGCAGTTTTCCTCCCTTCCAAGACATTCTGTATAAAATAGCAATGAAACTTTGGAAAAGAGGAACAGCTGCAAATTTTACATTCCTTGTCTGAGTATTTGTCAGTATCTCTGAGATAAGATTTGCAACCTCTCAGACTTCATTATTTTCAGTTTCAGTTATCACTTTATGTGCTATCTAGTTCCAGGAAAAAGGAAGGCTAACTCCACTTCAGCTTCCAGATGGCCACACCGTGCTTCCATGCCTTTGGAAGACACAAGGCAGGGAGCGTGACTTTCTAGAAATTGTGTGGTACTTTTTGAAGAAATATTTACGATAGTGTGTAACTGCATCAATTGGCATTCTGCTGAAAAACAGATTTACACACAACAGTTTGAGACTGCAGCATCCTGCCATCTTTCAGGGCTACTCTCATTAGGGATGTCTGTTGAGGAAAGAACGTATCTCCGTGTTAACACTGCATTTAATAGAACACATGCTAGACTTTACTGAGTCAAAGAAAGATATCCCTGGAATTTTCTTATAGCAAAGCACACAGACAATCTGTATTCATTCTTGACCTTTGCAAATGAAATAAATATCTCCAGAAGATCAAGTTTTGCTTAGTGTCTTTGGGCAATATTATCCCCTTCTTAAATTCCCAGGATTGGTTGGGAACTCTTGACCTTTCAAATGCATGCTTCCATAGCTTAATAAGGCAGTTACACTTGGGGCATTTCAGTCTTCAGCTGGGCAGCAGTACAAGGTGCTAACTCTTGGGGACAGCGTTGCTAGTGCAAATGGATGGTAGCTGAGTATTATGGAAGAGCGAGGATACTGCTGAAGGTCACAGCACTGCGGAGAGGTAGGTGTGGTTCCTGGCAGATGTTAGACCCTCTGCAGCTCTTTAA